CAATTAAAGCATGATGAATCATGTTAGGCCGGAGAAACATGTCAGAAGATTGGACGTCGCACCGGAGGATTGGTCGATATATCGACAGAAGGCTTCGGGTCATGGATTCAGGCATCGGGCCAAGAAGAGCGGATATTGCGCCAAGGATATTAAAGTTGCGAGGTCAACTGGCTGATTGGGCAATAGCCCATAAGAGAGGACGATGCGCTGAAGAATCGGACAAAGCGTCGATGGACCAATGACATACCGGACGATATAATTCATGCTTAGTAATAATTGTCTAGATCAAAGTATGTTTTTATATGTGCAGGATTAACTATATAGCAAGGCATAAAGCAAAATGAAGTCTTGGAATCAAGAACGTGATTTTGTTGGGAGTTCGAGAGTTCATCGGAAGTCCGGACGTTCGTCGGAAGTTTTGCCAGATTTAACTGAGCAGTCCTAGAGCTTGCCAAAGAAGCTCATCGGAACTCGCTAAGAAGATCATCGTGAAGTCCAAGAGCTTGCTAGGAGTTCGCCGGAACATTGCTGAGAGATCGTCGGAAGTTTGCCAAAAGATCGTCAGAAGCTCACTGGAAGAAACCGGACTTATCTTGCTTAGAATATATCTTAGAAATCATAGTTAGCACATAATTAGAGTTGGGATTGGAAGGTAATCCCATCAACTCTGTTAGGGGCCAACTAGGCCCGAAGTTGGGCTGGTTTGGGCCTGATTCTAGGCCCAAACAGGGTGTTGAAACCCTGGCCGACTGTGGTACCACCCAGGCTGGGTAGTGGTACCACTGGCAGCAATGCTGCCAACGGTACCCCTGTTCGGTGGTGGTACCACCCATCCGCAAATCCTGCGATGGTAGTACCGCCCAGGAATGGCGATGGTACCGCTAGTACCCAAGAAACCTAGGATGAGACCTTTTTAAACTTCAAGTTTAAATCAACTTGAAGCCTATAAATACCCCTCTCATCCCTGGTTAACATACACAAGCACAGAGAAAATACTATAGAAATCACTTGAGAAATCCCTCCTCTAGATCTAACTTTAGAATTCTGTTTAGAGAGGAGTGTGTGTGCTTGTAAGGGTTATCTCCTAAACCCAATAAAAAGAGAAGAGGGGTTTAAGAAGGAGGTTGATCTTTGCCTATTAAAGGAAGATCGATAGTGGATGCCGGTGGCCTCGATAAAAGAGGAATCGGAGGAGTGGATGTAGGTCATGACGATCGAACCACTATAAATCGGTTTGCATTTCTGTTTTACCATTTATCTTAACTGTGAACTGTCTTCCTTGCTTTACATCAACTGTACTTCCATATGCTTTTAATTTAAAGATCTTTCCGAAACGGTTTTCGTAGAAATCAGATTTTATCGTACGAAGGTTTTTCTAAACGACGTAATTTTTACCGCTGCACTAATTCACCCCCCCCCCCCCCTCTTAGTGCCGACTCGTTCCTAACAATATCCCCATGACAAAGCCCAGAATTATATTTATTAACCCCCATGGTATAAGTAATATATATCTCTTTATGTCATAGTTTAAAAGAAATTAATTTATGAATAAATACTAATTTTTACCCACACGAGCAATATCACTAAAAGTAACATATTAATTAGTTTATAGAACTAAGAGTTTAAATAATTTATTTTTTTATATTTATTCAAAACTAATGAAATCATTTATTATTTTTAAATCATTTTCAAATATAATACTAGATAGATATTTTTTATATAAATTCAGATAATATAACTTAAAAATACATGTAAAACAATAACTACTTGTTCAAACTATCAATATTTAAATCTTTTTATGATACTTTTAAATTAAAATGACTTCTAAATTATGTAAATCATATGTAATTTGTGAACATCAAATATATGCATTAATACTTTTGAAAATAGAATAGACGGAGTCATCAAATATTTATCTATATCATATACCGTTAATACCAATATATTTTGATCTTTCCTTATTTTTGCAACTTCATTCTTTTTTTTATTTTTTTATTCCCTTCATGATATAAACATCCAATTAATTAAGAACATCAAGATTCCTTAATCTATAATCCCTATAAATCGAATTAATAAAAATATAAAATATTTTAAAATTATACCTATTAAATTTTTCTAGACTTGATCTGAATCCATTTGATAAAAAATGAGTCCTTAATATATTTTTCCTTATTTTTTTAATTTTCTTTTTCTTTGTTTTCTCTCTGTTTCTCTCCCTGTCCTGCGCTTGAAACCACCACCTCTCATTTCTTTTCTTCTTTTTTTTTTTCTTTCGCTTCCTTCCTTTCTTCCTTTTTCTCCTTCTCGATATCTCTTACTTTTCATTCTTTTCCTCCTCTCTTCTTCTTCCTCTTTTTTTTTATTTTTCTTCTTTTCTCTAGTCTCACAGACGAAGCCTTCTCTCTATATTCTCGTCCTTGCATATTTATTTCGTAAATAACCATCGGTTTTTCGAACAAACGTATCGATAGTTCTATACATAATTATATGATATTTTATTATTATACATAGTAATTAAAGATGTTGTAGTGGATCTAATAGAAAAAAGGAAACTGTAGAGATATTTCTTTTCATCTATTAGTTATTCCGGCTCTGTATACTTGTGAACTTTTCATTTGAAACCTCAACGTACCATAATTGATATTTTATACGTAGCATTGTAATACACTACAGAGGATCATGAAAAGACAAACTAACATGGAAGTAGGCGATATATAGGAAAGGCAAGATAAATGGTGATGGAGTTGATCACCTGTTAACTTCCGACTGATTTTTGAGTATTCATCCATCAGTAACTTGGTAAGATAAGTGCTCCTTACTAGGGTAGTGTCGTCGCCCCTAAACGGTTCCATGCTTGAAGTTAATGAAACGAAAACAAGAACAAGGATGGACAAGATGGTCTTGGTAAAGACTCTTAATGTGTATAGAGAAAAGCAGAATACAAAATGAAATATCTACGTTGAGATTCTTATATAATAAATCGAAAGGAAAAGATACCTTTCAAGATTTTTTTTATTTTTTTAACTAACAGATATATTCTTTCTTTAATGAAAAGTTATCAAGCCTAAAGAACTCGGATCTTTGCACTGGGGTTGCAAACTTTCGATCACGAGCAGATGGAACAAAACATTATAAAAAAAAAACCATCGATAGCTAAATACTTTTAAGGCAGAAATTAACAAGAATGCTGCATCATTGGTCATTAAAGAATCTTCAGCAGTTTAATCACAATAGCTCACACTCTAGTTTGTAGCCACTGGAACCCACATATATTATGATCCTTGAAAGGTACAAGTACATGCACAGAGAGAGCTTTTAGATGAGAGCTAATTAAATATGGGAAAGATGCATGAGCGGTTCTGAGACGGAACTACAGTCTTTATCTTCCAATTGATTAATCTGATTGCTCATGATATTGAATACTGCTGTAACATGATTGGTACATGCTTACAACAGACCAACTTGCCGTCTACGAGTATATGCTATAGGTTGTGATTAACAAGGGGAACAAGCACACGTAAACACCATGTTGCCGTCCAACTCTCGTCGTCTTGTAGCCAAAAAAGCCACATGAGGTACCTGAAACTATATATATATATATATATATATATATAGCAGCCAGTATTTATCAGTGGTCTTTCCGGTGCGGCTTTAGGCCTACTGTCATTGATCCAGGAAGAAAACTTCGTCTTCGACAGTGTGAGCCCCCTGGAAATGGTGACCTGTGAGTGATCTTATTAATTCAACCGACTCGACAAGACCACATGTTCTTGAGTTAGTGGCCTACATACTCACTCTTTTGAGGATTGACTAGGTATCCATGTTCATTTCTGATCAGTGGATAGAAGCCTGACTTTGTTGCCGGAGGAACAGCTTCAGCGTTTCAAGAACACTCACATGTCTCTGACCTTTATATTCCATTCAAAAGGTCTCCCTCTCTCTCCCTCTCAGAAGGAAACATCGCATGTTCTGACGATTTGGACTTCCACTGCTTGCTCCGATAAAGAAATGGTTCGAGAGTGTGAACCCTTTGACCTTTTTGTTGAAACTGATAATAATCCAAACACAGCGACTGGTTGAAAGTTCTGCTGATCCAAGAGAGCACATACGAGAAGTAAATATTTTTTTGTCCTGGATATCAAGCACCTTTCTCAGAGAATCACATGCGCTAAATAGTCGGCCTGCCGCCCATTTCAGGTCTTCAATGCACTCTTTTTCCCTTCTGTTGTCTTCCAGAATCTGCCATCCATCCCCTTCAAAGATCTGCAATGTTTCAGAGTGGATTTGATAGCTAATAAAGATGCATTGACTGAAGCTTTAAGGAGGCAGGCGACAAGAAGTCCTGCCCGAGATTGCGTGAGGATTCAGTCCATATTCCCTCTCCAAATTTTGAACAGTAATTAACAAGCAGTAGGCAGCAGCTTTTTTCCGGCTTTAAGCAATTTTTGAAGATTCTTGTTGCATTCTTCTAACAAGGGCTGTTCAACAAGCACACAGATTAGGAGATAAAGAACGTTCTGACATCAGAATTCTGATACTGAAGCCAACTGCTTCTGTAGTAGAGAAAATGGAGGATTAATCTATGGAGCAAAGCCAAACTTTGGAGTAGATATAGATATGTGGAAACCCACCTTTCTGACGTGGAGAATCGCACCTGATCACAGTATGCCTGAGCTGAGAGGCATAAACTACTACCAAATCCGACTAAGCCCCACTGGATTCGAGAAAAATAAGACCCACTAGTAGTATCTTACACGCCTTGGAAAAAGCATTCATGCACGCTTGCTTCTCTCTCTTCACAGTCAACAAAGTAGTTGAAGTGTAAGATTCGCAAGGAAGCCTGCACCACCAACATGCTCTAGTTTTGCCAAGTGTCAAGGCCCTGGGCTTCATATTGTTGTCTCTCTCTTGCGTTCTGCCTTTTCCGTAAGAGTTTCTTCCACTCAGACCTCAGCTCCAAGGCATGCCTTTGACACCTATATAAAGCGACTGTGTCGATACAAGGAGAAACCCAGTGAAACCCACTCATCAGATACTTCTCCCATCAACAAAAGCCATGAAAGCCCGAGACTGTGTCTGTGATCCACCTTTGGCTGATAGCTACCAGGAACTGTCTTACAAGTCTACGCAAGCTGAGCTGCGCCAGCATGATCAAGACTGTGAAGTGATTGCAGAATGCGAGCTTCCGATGATTGACTTGAGGGGTCTGAGGAGCTGCAATGAAGAGGAGAGGCATGCGTGTGTGGAAGCCATTGCTAAAGCGTCCACGGAGTGGGGTTTCTTCCAGGTGTTGAACCATGGGATCAGTCGGGAGCTCCTTGAAGAGATGTGGAGGGAGCAAATCAAGTTGTTTGCGTTGCCATTCGAGAAGAAGGCACGTTCAAGGCTCCTCAATGACTCTTACAGGTGGGGAACTCCGACAGCCACATCTCTTCATCAGTTCTCTTGGTCAGAAGCCTTCCATGTTCCTCTTGTAAAGATCTCAGAGAAGGGTAGTTGCTATGGGGAATTCAGTTCTCTGAGGTACTTTGCCATTAGCCTCTTACGACATTCTTTGAGAAGATGCACCTTAACAACTGTTCGGCTTCAAACTCATTAAAATGTCCAAAATACCCATTCAATGTTTCTCCTAGTTCTTCTCCCACTCTTAGACTCTTGGCAATGCAGGGATGCCATGGAGAAGCTTGCTGCAGCAATGTCTGAGCTCGCAACTACACTAGCTGGAGCGTTAGCAGAGAGTTTGGGCTACGACAGTCGGGGATTCCCGGAGAGCTGCAACAAAAGCACATGCTTTCTCCGCCTGAATCATTATCCGCCATGCCCTTTCTCCGCTGAGATCTTTGGGTTGATGCCTCACACTGACAGTGACTTCCTCACAATCCTCTATCAAGATCAAGTTGGGGGACTGCAGCTGATGAAGGATTCCAAGTGGGTTGCTGTAAAACCAAATCCGGATGCGCTTATTGTCAACATTGGAGACCTTTTCCAGGTATCAACCTGTCAGTCCTAGTGGACTCAGAGTGTAGTGTCCGCTACCTTTTCTTACTGTTCAAGTTTGACATTTTGAATTAGCTGACGTCTACTTCCACTTGATCTTAATCATACAAATGCCAAACTTGATCTTAATACTTTGCCTTTCAACCTGAATGAACAGGTTGAAAGGCTTGCATCAGGAGGTCTATTACGGATGCATTACTATAAGCCATGAAAAGGATTTTGTTCTTCGTCATGATATCTTCTGAATATAAACGTTTTACGACATGAATTTTACCGACTTCGAATTCAATGACTGTGTGTAGGCATGGAGCAATGATGTCTACAAAAGCGTGGAGCACAAAGTTTTGATCAACTCGAAGAGGGACAGGTATTCCATAGCTTACTTTCTGTGCCCATCATATGAATCCACCATTGGGAGCTGCAAGAAACCCTCCATCTACAAGGATTTCACCTTCGGAGAGTATAGGAAACAAGTGCAAGACGATGTCAAGATAACAGGACAGAAAATAGGCCTTCCAAGGTTTCTCCTGCAGAATATTTCATTATAATGATTCCCCCAAAACCTACCATTTTCTCCATATTTCTGTGAATTTTTATCAGTACAAGAGGAAGAGAAACGAGTAGCACTCATATGTGCATTATTGTTTTTTTTCTGGTACATCCATTCCATTTACTTATGATGAGGTGAACTTCATAGAAGTTATAGATCCGCAGTTATAACATTGTAATTTTGTTTCAAATCGATAACCCTTCGATGGCGCATGTCTTCACCATTCAAGAAGGAATCGATGTTTTCTTGTATGTGCGTAGGTGATAGAACCCCAGAAACAAGCAATATCAATGTATGTGCATAAGTAGGTGATAGAACCCCAGAGAAATTATACGTAGATTGATTTTTGAGGGGGATCAACTCTTGGAACATTATAGGGGTTCCTCCTTCCTAGAAGTCGACCAAATGAATGTAATTGTAAACAGATCTTATTCCCAAAGAGATGGAGGCTATATGCTTATATAGGGCGTCAAACCCTAGCCCTAGGGGGCTACTTCCTAAGTGAGTTATTCTTTTTGCCCTTAACCCTAACCGACTAGCCCAGTAAAAAGGGGCAGTGGTTAGGAAGCCCAAATACCCAAATATAAACCTTAGTCACTCTTCTTTATATGATAGAGACGACTAGGTGGGGTTTATTATAATCTCACATGACTTTATTAGCTGCTTCTTGGTTAAGTATAACTCAACCCTACTAGGGTCATATCAAGCTTATCCAATCCAAATCAATCTTATCCTCAAGGTTGAGGTTTTATGAACCTAGGGAACCGGGTCTTCAGCTCCTCATATGATTTTCATGTAGCATCTTCGAGTGGTAAATTATTATAATGCACTAGTACTTCGATAGAGGGACGTCAACAACGCATCATGATTATGTGGTCGAGGATGACTTGTGGTTGGACTTGAATATCTCCATTATCAATAGTATTGGGCAATTGGATCTAGGGTGGCTCGTGCTCTCCTAACTTAGGCTTCAAGCATGACACATGGAAGACTAGGTGAATTTTGACATCCTCAGACAATTTAAGTCTGTATGCCACGGCTCCAATATGCTCTGTGATCTAATAGGGCTCATAAAAATGTGGGGATAGCTTCATGGAGGCTTATGTGTTGATGGAGAGTTGTTTGTATGGTTGTAGGCGAAGATAAACCCAATCTCCTACTAAAAATTCTCTTTCGCTTCGTCGTGTGTCGGCTTGTTGCTTCATTTTAGCTTGAGCGGTAGAGAGATTATCCTTTAGCAGTTATAGGAGTTTGTCCCTGTCAATTAAATCTTGGTCGACCTGATCTACCTTGGCCAAGTCAATTACATACTTTGGAATCACAGGGGCCGACCGACCGACCATATAGTGCTTCATATGGGACATATTTTGTAGATGAATGATATATAGTATTATACCATCATTCGATCCAGGGTAGCCATTTTGCCCATTCCTTTGGCCGATCACTAGCAAAACACCGAAGGTACGTCTCCAAACACCCATTCACCACCTTTGTTTGGCCGTTAGTTTGTGGATGATATGTTGTGCTCATCTTAAGTTTGATGCCCTGTAATTGAAATAACTCGGTCCAAAATTTACTAGTGAATATCCTGCCATGATCACTTACAATGGACATTGGCATCCCATACAGTTTAACAATATTTTCTATGAAAATCTGAGTAATGCTAGCAATAGTGTAGGGATTTCGTATAGCACAAAAATGAGCATATTTCGTAAATTGATCAACCACCATAAGGATTGTGCTTTTACCTTTAGAATATGGTAGCCCTTCGATGAAGTCCATGGAGATGTTAGTCCACACCGAGTCCGATATGGGTAGTAGTTGTAGCTTTCTTGGACTCGTCACTGTTTCACCATTTTGCTGTTGACATACATTACATTGTGCCATATATTCAGAAATAATTTTTTTCATCCCTCTCCAATAAAAATTTTGCTACACTCTTTTGTAGGTTCTTAGAAATCCGGAGTGCCCTGCGGAAGGTGTGGAGTGCATTTCGTGCAAGATAATTTTGATGTAAGGGGAGTCGGGTATAAGCACAATGCAACCTTTATAGCGTAGATCTCTCGAATCCCAAGTATAGTGAGCTATTGCGCTTGGATCCTCTAATTTTTTTATGATGTTGCTGATCTCTGGATCATTTTTCCATTCCTCCCTAATGTCCTCGAGGAAGCCGGTGGTAGGAAGGGAGATGACTGAAATTTTAGCTTGCTTAAGTAGCCGTGAGAGTGCATTTGCAACAACGTTTTCTTTCCCTTTTTTATAAATAATTTCATAATTAAATCCCAGAAGTTGGTTACCTATTTTTGCTGCTCAGGGGATGATATCTTCTGCTCCAAAAAGTATTTGAGGCTTTTATAGTCGGTTTTAATTTGAAATCGCCAACCAATCAGGTAAGGTCTCCACCTCATTACTGCATGCACAATGGCGAGCATCTCCTTATCATATATTGACATTTTTTTATGGGAGGGAGATAACGCCTTGCTGGTGTATGCAAGAGGTCAACCATCTTTCATGAGAATGGCTCCAATTCCGACTCTAGATGCGTCGGCCTCAATGATGAATGGTCGGCTGAAATCTGGTAGTGCTAGCACCAGCATCGTCATCATTGCTGCCTTAAGTTTATCGAAGGCAGCAAAGGCTTTCTCCGACCATTGGAAGACATCTTTTTTTCATAGAGAAGTGAGGGGTGCACTGATCTTCCCATAGTCCTTCGTAAATTTTCGGTAGTAGTCCGTTAGTCCAAGGAACCCGCACAGTAATTTCACGTTTGTAGGTTTCGGCCAACCCTACATTGCTTCAAGTTTTATTGGGTCTACCGCCACTCCTCTTGATATTATGTGCCCAAGGTACTATACTTTTTGCTAGAGAAAGCTACACTTTGGTTGTTTAACAAAAAAAGTATTATCCGAAAGGATTGTCAAAACAACCCACAAGTGCTGAAAGTGAGTCTCAAGAGAAGGGTTGTAAATGAGAATTTCATCAAAAATACCATCATAAATTTACGAAGAAAGCTCCAAAAAATATCATTCATGAGACTTTGGAAGGTTGAAGGAGTATTAGTGAGTCCAAAAAGCATTACCAAGAATTCATAATGGTCGTTATGTGTGCGAAATGCAGTTTTTGGAATGTCGTCTTCATATACCCGAATTTGGTGGTAACCGGATCGGAGGTACAACTTCGTAAAGACTTGAGCTCCTTTTTGTTGGGAAATCTTGGGGCGACATCACATGCGCAGTGGAAGAACAAGAAAACAAAATCCCCGATTCCCAAAGAGATGTTCGTCATCGTGCGAAGATTGATGCGCAAAATCCGCGAAACTTAAAACTACGTATAGAATAGATTGTGTTACATAGGGAGATCGTATATCCCTATTTCCTTGCAGATCCTTAGGAGAGGGTGAAGGAGGTCAACCGTCCTCCTCTCTAGCGGTGATCCACACAGTAGGGCTGCGACGACGCTCCTCAAAACTCTAGGCCTGCTCTTAGGTGGAGAGGGAGAGGAGAATAGGAGAGGCAAGCAAAGGCTCTAGCTTATGAGGCTCTGAATTCCTCCTATTTATAGAGGTCCCTTGTCAAACCCTAATGGGTCCTCCCTTAGTGGGTATTGGATCTACATCCAATAAGACAAGGGCTCCATCGGATATCTCATATCCGAACCTCTACTCATCGCAATGCCTACCATATGTGTGTGACCCTCTAGGCCCAATATCGAGCTGGCCGTGAGTCATACCTGTCAGAATTCCTTCTAACTCAATGAATTATTATCTCTGTAATAATTCACTTGACTCATCAACTACGGACGTACTAGGCCACTACGCCGTAGTCCCCAGACGATACAGGAGAATCAAATCCATTGGACCTGTCTGTCCTCAGTTACCATGTACCTATAGTCCCTCATCCATCTAATATCCCAAAGACTGGATGATCCTCTATCGACACTCAATAGCCCTCATAAGGTCAACTACCACTCCCAATGACCAACTGTACTAGATCTGGGATAACCAAACCTATAAGTCTGGTATCAAAGAGTGTAGCACTCATACAGGACATCCTTGGTGTCTCAAGTCTAAGGACCGGATATACCACTAGGACTACGGAATCGCTGTCTGACAATAAGGCATCATCAACCATCCAGCATTTCGTAAGCGGATCAATCAGTGAACTCATTCTCCAATGAGCACATGTACTGTATCCCTAGTGTCCCTACACGAGCAGCTATGAGACCAGCTGCATCCATCATATGGACGGGTATACAGCACACCAGTCTATCCGGTTATCACGATATCCCTCTCGAGTAACATATGACCGGGATTATTTAGGATATGTATTTAAAGGTGAATCGATCTCATTATCATGATCTCATCACGATCCGATTCACATTGCACAAATCCAAGGACATCACAATATATATATGCATATATGCAATAGTTATAAAGTGATATACGCCAAAATATAATAAGCAAAAAGATTCTGTATCAAGTCACACGTGCCATCACTCACGTGATTAGCTTGCTCGGCACCTATGACTAGCACTTTTAACTCATCAAAAAGTTCATCCACCATTGGAATTGAGTACTTATCCTTAATGGTGATGCAATTTAAAGCTCGGTAGTCGATGCACATCTACCAAGTTTCATCCTTCTTGCGTACAAGTAGCACTAGTGAGGAATAGGGGCTGCAACTTGGTCGAATCACCCCCGTCTCAAGCATCTCTCTTTTCAATTTCATCTTTATGGAGGTGAGGATAATGGTACAGCCAAGTGTTCACTAGTGATTTGCCTGGAAGAATTGGAATCTGATGGTCATGTTGCCGAGTAAGAGGAAGACCGTGCAGTTCAGCAAAAATGTCGACAAATTCAGCAAGCAATTGAGCAAGATTTGATCTTCAATTTCTATTTTCTTCCCCTCTGGTGACAACTGGAGATGCATCAAAAAGCCACCATTTACCTTGTATAAAACTTTCTCCATTCGTTGGGTTGAAACGGTGGTTACATTGTTTTCGCGCTTCCCGCGTAGGATGATCTGTTTGCCTTTATAGTAGAATTTCATAATTAATTTGAAAAAGTTTTAAGAGACGTCACATAGCATCGTCAGTCATTC